ACATAATTTTAAAATTTACCCAGAAAAATACACACAGTTAGGTCTTTATTCATGGACTGCTCTTAAAGTATGTCCAGGACGGCGTCTTGCTGGTAGTCCAAACCTTAATATGTCACCACTCACCACTGATGTGAAATATGTTAATTTCTTTCATATGTTTTGGTTATTTTTGCTCAAAGTTCTATAATAATATATTGATAATTGATCAATATTAATTTAACGATGACTAATCTGTATGATCTATATCGTTGCCAGCCTTAGCAATTCATGCCAAGGAAACACAGGCAGCAATTGTTTTATTGCTATTGTACATATCACACACTGTAGGCATACTCGCTTGCTTACTGTATCGTTTCAACAGTACGCATAACATTGCTTGTAATATCCATGTGTGACACTATAATAAACCATTTCTTCAGTTTCTTTATCATAAGCATGTTCTAACCCAGAATCCCCACCTAAATAACACAAAGCCATAATAACAAAGTATCAGGTACATCTGTGAAGGTAATATTTAACTTAACATCAGCAGACTTGTAACAATATCCAGTCCCCTGTCATGATGCGATTAGCCTAACTGAAGTTAAAGTTGAGGGTTAGGTGAACATCTGGTGAAAATCCATCTGCCTTGACATAGGAGGCAATCCTGCTCTATTCCAACACCACAGACAGGGACATAATCTCAGCCAGATGAAAATCATTGAACTTCAAGTAACAACTCTGGGATTATCTAGGCTTGTAGAGAGGTCGATATTCAGACCGAAGTCTACAGCAAATGTCAGTAAAACTTCACAAAGTGGATTAAACTGTCCCCTTTTCATGGTGTAACTACAACTGATGCTATGATCTGTCACATCTATTTGTACAGGTGACTTGTATATTTCACTGACAAGCAACAGAAATAGACCTTTTTTCTTTCTTAGTTTTAAATTGTTGCAGTGAAAAAACAAAATGTTAAAATCACTCTGTACTGAAGAAAATATGAACTTTGCAAAGATCCTAATTGAGCCAAATTTTTTATTTTTTCAAAACTGACAAAGGGACCTTTGGTGGAATTGTAGATAATTCCCACCTGAAACATGTCACGATATTAAATACAAAATCCAGATACATCTACCTATGAATGACATACCATCAGGTGTGGTTTTACAAATGTCTTACTCCACAGAGATTACTTTTTAAGACTTTAAAAATGTGTCATAAAATTCAATGTAGTTGTTCCTGAAATGATTTCATACATAACTTCCTGATTAGCACTAGGGCTGGGACGATTCACCGATACATCACGATACATTTTAGTTTGATACAGCTATCGTATCGTCGACTGGTGTATCGGTACAAAAAGATACACGACTTTTTTTCCAAACAGTATGATCTTAAACATGTTAAACTTAAAGTACTTATGTAGAGAAAAATACGCAAGTATGATAGTGTTACGTGTTTGTTTATTACAATAGTGTTATTTTTATACACATATACCTTCAAATAAATCATCTTAAATCTCAATACTGTCATTCTTTCAAGGTGTATGTATCGTGATACGTATCGTATGTAAAATATTGCGATACGTATCGTATCATGACATAGTGTATCGTCCCAGCCCTAATTAGCACTGCTAATTATCAATAGCAAACAAAAATTTTAAAATGGCAACATAACAATATATAACAGATTTACATTGTTGTAAAAACAAAGATTGTTTATATATATTAATCAACATTTCCTACAAAAAAATGTGACAAAACATCACGTCACTTTACTGTAAAACACAGTTAACCCAAATAGAAATTGTCAAGTAATTCCATTTACTTCTAATTTCAGGGTTATTTTTGTCAGTCCATCTTAAACAAACTAAAAATATTATGACTGAATAAAACTCAACCCTCTTCCATCCTCATACCCTCCTCATCTTCATCACCCTATACTCAACCCATTCTCCAGGCTGATACATACAGACTGGAGGGTTCCTGATACTTGAGGCTTCCCTTGGAGAATCATTTTTATTTAACCTTATAAATAACTAATTTTCAATGTTCATCCAGGTTTTGCATAAAAATTACTTGCTTTCAGGGTGCTGTTCTACTCGGCTCAACATGAAATACTGGAACCTTGCATAGGGACTTCAAAATAGGTCATTCATTTTTCTGTAAAAAGCTCAGTTTCTTGTAAATTTTAACTTCAAGACAGAGAATCCCCCTTCAATAGTGAATGAGTTTAGTTTTACGCCACTTTTAGCAATATCACGACAGGGAACACCAGAAATGGGCTTCACACATTGTACCCATGTGGGGAATCGAACCCGGGTCTTTGGCGTGATGAGCAACCACTTTAACCACAAGGCTATTCCCCCACCCCCTGCAATACGAAACACTGGATTATTGACCTTCATAACCAGTCCTACATGGAGCATGGATATTTGAAGTCATCCCCTTTTCAGTATTTGTTTCAGTCGAAAACTATTAATACATTCATAGCATTATATAGGAAAACATGTTTTATAATTATATTGCGGGTACGTCAGACAGCAAGGTATTCATGACACAAATCTGTTCAATAACTGGTCCCAGGCTTATCAAATCGGAAACATAATATTGTACAAATGGTATCAGTCCCTTATTTCAATGAATCTGAACACATTTTACATCGAAGGTACTTCAAACCGGCAGCAGGTGTTCGCGTAAAAAAGAACAGGGGCAATGTAAGATAAAACCAGTCAGCTGTGCTAGGAAATTGACAGGTAAGATAATCTGTAATTTACCACTAGCTATAACTATCCTGACAGGCCAGACAGCCTATTTAAACCACACACCAAGATTCATACAAACTGTCAATAAAACCCTTTCAACTCTATAAGGATCCTCTGATAACATGCAACATGTTTGAGGTGGTAATGAATTCTAACACTTGCTTCACCTTTTAAGAAGGATGTATGTCAAACTGCAGAAGATTCTAGACTTGTCACTGATTTGGTCGTTAAATTGGCAGAGAAAACAGGTTGTGGTGTTATCGGTGACAAGTGCAATTCATAAGAACATCATCAAACATGACTGTCTCTATTGTCTCCGCTGTTTCAGACACTGGAACAACTAACGTCATCCGTCCAGTAGACGTTGACAGTAAAGAGTTAAAAAATTCAGTAAAGTCGTGCGATACATAACACCGAAGGAGTGAAGCACCATCTGCTTCTTTGATATTACTATTATGCCGACAATCCAACTGTTTCAGCTTATGCCTCACAATTGAATTACATATGAGATTCTTTAGTCTCACGTAGAAGGTAACTGATCCTTACAATTTAAAAATTTAAACCCTTACACACAACCATTGTAATCCCAAATATATGTTACATTTGACCTCTTTCTAAAAGGCATTTTGTAGTCATAAATTAATATAAAAAGTTCTTTCATACATTTACAGTCAAGATGTAACAATTATAGCTTAACATTCATAAAATTTGTGATTAAATTCTTTCAGGGGACAGAATGCCATTAAATCACAGATAAGGTCAATCAACACATGACAGATGACAGCAGCGTCAATAACAAGCACCTGTCACTGCTATAGATATCTACTGGTCCACTTACATGCTCAGTGGTATATGAGCAAATTGACAACGCAGATGTGAAATTAACTAAGTCAGTCTGTCGTGAATTGTAATGATCTCAATTGGTTAACAATCACAATTAGCATGATCTGGAACAGTTGAAATTGGCATGGGTTCAAATAAAGAGTAGAATAATTTGATTATGACATGTAATTTGCAAGGTGTAAATATCACATTATCACACTATGCAAACGGACACATTGAGCCATGACATAACGGATTTACAATCACTGGCACAGGAGTGGATGCTCAATAAACAGTACAATCATTTTGTGAAGAAACTTATACACACAATACTTATGCTTCACATAATCAGTAGGAATCACACCGTTAATGAACATATGAGTTACAAACATTCTGATTTGTGTAAGTGATCAAATAAGTAAACCTATAAAATAACTGTTCAGAATATTAAAAACATCACACACGCTTTTGAGGTGCCACATGCATTGAAATATATCACACATTAACTATAAAGACTGTCCCAATTCCTACATAGTACCATAAACACAATATCAAAAACTTTGATAGCTAATAATGTATATTGTGAGTAAAATAATTGAAAGAAATCATCACTGTTACATTTTATAACAAAGTTACAATCAATTAATAGTGGGCTATTTGAAAATAGTTAAACCAAGTACAACTCGTATTTTCAATATTGTTACAATGTTTAGCTAAGCCTATCTCAAGTTTGTCATGCGACAAGAACCTGTTCGTATGATCTCATTGACATATTAATATGGGCCATAAAAATCAGAAAACACTATGACAACATATCATGTATGACCCTTGAGGTGTTGTGTGTTTCTTCCCCTTTTCCTTGACATAAAAATACAGCAACACAGGCATGGGTTTCCTAGATTCGTTCACGACAAAGGCCAAGTTTGCACCAAGATGAAAAGTTTTTGTAAGACCCACATCAGTCACAAACAAGGGCATTGTCGCTCATATTTAAGAGGCATTGGTTTCCCGAGATAAAGATCCATAAATCAAACCAATTACACAACTTCTGCGAAATCAAAACAAACAGAACCTAGATTTTTAATTGGGAACGCTGATGCTTTTCATTGATCAATTTTGACACTGCTTCCCTGGGCGCATGTGTTTGTCAAAACAAACCTAGTAGGATATGCCGGCCTGGCTAGACAACACCCGATCACAAACATCTCAACACATCGTTGAAAATTCTGATTTGTAGAAAATAGGTGAAAATACTTTGCAATCTGTTGGCCACGTCTCGAATCAAATGGACATCGCACACTCGTCCACTTCGTAAACATTCGGGAAGGAATACAGGTCACGCATCAAGTCGGTGTTTTCTCGCGACTACAGGGATATTCGAGTACAAATTACACACAGAGACATGAGAATAACTGTCTAGTCCTTTACTTACCAACATATGACAACTGTAGCACCAATATTAACGCTCCACATATCCTGTATATCTTATAACCCCACAAGCGCACGTCCGCCATCTTTTTGTGAAGAAGATTGACCCCTAAGTTCGTGACGTCACAAGGCTGTTCCGACAGATTGACTGCCCGCCCGCTGACAAAATCTTGTAGAGCGCCTTCTCTGCGGTTGGTGCAGAAAGGAGTAGAGACGAGGGGTTATATGCACATCAAACGGAAAGCTCTCTGAAATGAGAAAGAACGGAATTATTAAACGCTAACACATATTCAGCTGAATGCAGTATGCACGGTAATTTCAACTCGCAGATTCGAGCGCTGGGATCAATGCTCATAATCAATTAGTTATATTTGTAAGTGCACATACTTACATATGTCAAGATTTTGTGTAAAGAAAATATATACTTGAGGTTATGTCCGATTTGTTTTTGCACCCGATGACAGAAACACAAATTAGCTGAGTGGAGATACCCCACGTTTATCGAGCGTATGGTGTACGTGCTACGCGTGTTAAGTTCATACGAATGTACAATACACTGTATTGTTTTATTAATTAAAAATTGAAAACTCAAAATTGAAACTGGACCCCACTGGAACAAGTCTCTGTGAAATGTGCAGTGACTTAGAAGATGAGCAACACCATGTAATATTCAGTGCAAAGTATAACAAAGAAAGATAATCACTTCTACAAACAATGTTTAATCATGATCACGAATTTGCAACACACTCTAAAAAAGAACAATCCTTAACAATTTTCACAAACAGAAATCCTAAAACAATTTCCAAAATAGTTTATCATATTTACAATTTTAAATGAATTCTGTGTATTACCATAGTATTACCATTCTGTGTATTACCATAGTATTACCATTCTGTGTATTACCATAGTCTTCTCATATTGTTTCCATGTCATCATAGTACATATGATGTGTGACATTGTTATAATGTACATCATTTATGTGTGAACTGTATCTGTATTTATATATCTTTGTACCTGTTGTGTATATATTTGTACTTTATAGAATATTACCACTGTTTCTTCATGGAATGCTATGCAATAAATATCTTATCTTATCTTATTAAATTTACTTTTACATACATATTGCCGAACTGACAGAACAATATTGAGTGAGTGAGTCAGTTGGGTTTTACGCCGCTTTTAGCAATAGTCCAGCAATATCACGGCGGGGGGACACCTGAAATGGTCTACACACATTATACCCATGTGGGGAATCGAACCCGGGTCTTTGGCGTGACGAGCGAACGCTTTAACCACTAGGCTACCCCACCGCCCGAACAATATTGAAATGCTACACATTCGAAAGACAATGGTCTCGCTACGCGTCGTAATGGAATACATCTTGTTTTCTTTTAAAATAACAGGCTAATATCAGGATTTCACAAGAACGCCTACCCAAGTTGGTGGGTCAAGTGATTTTGACACCCCCACCCCTCAAAAAGAACAAAAACAACCAGAAAACCCCAAACATTCCAAAATGTTTCTGCTTGTAATGTTATGGCAAACAGTGAGTTTGGTTTTACGCCGCTTTTAGCAATATTCCAGCAATATCCCAACAATATTACAGCAATATCACGGCGGGGGACACCAGAAATGGGCTTCACACATAGTACCTCTGTGGGGAATCGAACCCGGGTCTTCGGCGTGACGAGCGAACGCTTTAACCACTAGGCTACCCAACCGCCCCGTTATGGCAAACAAACCAATGAGCACCTGTTATTTCACAGTTTTGCTAACACATAAACGATTTCTTAGAGTTCTTATTATAGCTATTTCATTTACTTATATAATAGATTCTTAAATGAAAAGGCTATACTACTTTTGAAAATGTTTGCGTTATATTGAAAGTTAATACAGGATTGTTTCAAATGATATACACCATCCTGATATTTTAGATGATATACTATCAGGTATTTCGTCGCGCCTATGACCCGGTTCGATTCCCCATACGGGCTCAGTTAGCTCATTCCTGGTGTCACCCGCCGAGATATTACTTGGATATTGCTAAAAGCGGCGTAAAACCATCCTCACTCACAATTCAAAGTTTGAAAAAGATATTTTAATGCCGTCAGTTAAAATCGAAAATAGAGTATTTTTCTCAACATCATGCAGTCGTGAACGCTTGTTCACTGGATATCGCACCTTTCAGTATTGACTAGCAGTTTAGGGGGCGCTATATATATAGCATCCCCTCGCCCTATATTTAAGTTGTCGATCTCCATCTGAACATTTCGGTTCCCTTGACTTAAAGGCCACGCCCGTCAAACGATCTTCCTTTTGGCTGACCTACACATCGCCTTCAGCGAGACCGGCTGACCAGACGCGAGGACGCGGGGCGTTGTTGGCCGTCGCCAACTGTCTGGTCGAGTCGCCTAGCTGGACATTGCCTCATTGCGAACTGACTTGAGAAGGTTGAGGCAGCACCCTACGGTGGTTGTATGATTAAGCGCTTAACACAAAAAACACGCTAGAGTTGATCGAATTTACAGTACGTGGTGAAATAGAGTTGAGAGAGAGAGAGAGAGAGAGAGAGAGAGAGAGAGAGAGAGAGAGAGAGAGAGAGAGAGAGAGAGAGAGAGAGAGAGAGAGAGAGAGAGAGAGAGAGAGAGAGAGAGAAGAGGAGGGAGAGAGAAAAGAGAGAGAGAGAGAGAGAAAGAAAGAGAGAGAAGAGGGAGGGAGAGAGAGAGATTTCTTAAATAAGGAGAGAGAGATTTTCTTAAATAAGGTCGAGTTATACAGTGAAGATGTATTCCCGAGAGAGAGAGAGAGAGAGAGAGAGAGAGAGAGAGAGAGAGAGAGAGAGTGAAAGAGAGATTCTTAAAATAGGTCGAGTTGTTGGATTTCATACAGTGAACATGTATTCCTGAATGGAGAGAGAGAGACAGAAAGATTTTCTTAAATAAGGTCGAGTTGTTGGATTTTATACAGTGCGAATGTATTCCTGAGAGAGAGAGAGAGAGAGAGAGAGAGGGGAGAGGAGAGAGATTCTTAAAATAGGTCGAGTTGTTTGATTTCATACAGTGAAAATGTATTCCTGAATGGAGAGAGAGAGAGGGGAGAGAGAGAGAGAGAGAGATTTTCTTAAAGTCGACTTCACTCCTAATTGGGGGCGGTGGGGTAGCCTGATGGTTAAAGCGTTCGCTCGTCACGCCAAAGACCCGGGTTCGATTCCCCACATGGGTACAATGTGTGAAGCTCATTTCTGGTGTCCCCCGCCGTGATATTGCTGGAATATTGCTAAAAGCGGCGTTAAACCAAACTCACTCACTCACTCCTAATTGGCATTATAACAATGCTATAAACACAAGAAATATGTAAGTTATTATCCCTGCCCCAGCATCAGAAGCTATAACCTTTCAATGTTGAAGACCAAACAGATGGAAATGACAAACTGAGCCAAGTTAAATTTTTAAATATTAAAAAGAAACAAAACAGGAAACTCAAACAAAAAAAGTAGCTTACAAGCTAACAAGCACCAGTTTTACAGGTATAAGACACAATTGTGACAGTTATGTTGCAAAGTTATTCAATCTGTTTAAACAAAGCGGCGGCGTTCCCTTCATCTTGAAACACTTTCTGCTGACAACAGACACTGAAAGTGTCAAGGTTGTTGCTTTTGGCGTGAGATTTTTGTGAGCCCTTTGATAAAGACGAATATAGCCTGAAGAACCTATCCGGGAATCATTTCCAATAGCCGTAAGGATTTAAAAGATAACGTATTGTCTAATTTCGTTACTCCATACCTTTTCTTGGCGCCGATAATCCTGGGGTAATCATTAATTAACTGTCATGTTGTTCGAGATGTCGGGTCGTGGTGAAAGGTACGCGGATTGTTAATTTCGCACGCACGAGTCAATTGTATATTGTATATGAGGAGTGACAGCCACGCGATGGTGTATATAGTTGTTGGTTATACGAGGGGTAATAGATGGGAATCTTTGTGTTCACTACTGGCGCAATTTGGATAAATCATATAATATAAGAATTGTACAATTATAGACGCGGTAACATATATATTGTTTTATTACATGCCTAATAACATGTCTTTGTATTAATTCTTATGACATGGGAAATTTTAAGCATGTCAAGGGCGGACACATCCCCTCCTCCTCCCCCCCCCCCCTTTTCTGGATCCGCCTATGCATGTTAGTCTCACCTGATGAAGGGGTTGAGTTGAGTTGGGCTTTACGTCACATCGGCATTATTCCAGCCATATAGTGACGAGAACAAGTCTGCATTATTAAACATTGTAAGTACAGAGTCGAAATGAGTTTTATTTAAAAATAATATGTTCATTACATTGTCATTTAAAGACATTTAAAAACAGAAAAAGTCATAGCACTAAATTTAAAGGCAGGCAATTTGTTGGTCACATTACACAGTTACCATTTATGATACAGATCAACTTCCCTCAGGTAGTTCACTATCAGATGAGCGCTCACGCGGGAGAACAGATCTTTCAGATTTGTTGCTTCATAATGTGAGTCCCTTGCAGACGATAAGTCCACACAGTCAAGCAGAATATGCTTGATGGTGACACACATGGGGGGTCCATCCCCATCCGTTTTCAGCAGATAGTCATGAGTAAACCGACTGTGGCCAATACGACATCGTCGTAAAATTACCTCATCACGTCTTGAATGACAACCCAAGTATAGGTATAACCAATTGTTTGCTTCAATTCATACAGTTTGTTTCTTCCTACTTGAATGCCCCACCTTTTTTGCATGAGGTCCCGAGTATAGCTTTTGATAGTGGGTTTGAAATCACTGTACGGGATCAGCAGTGGAGATAAGGGCTTGTCAAGAGCTGCTTTTGCTGCAGCATCGGCTTTTGTGTTACCTGCTATGCCGACGTGACCCGGCAACCAGCAGAGGACGATGTCACATTGGTCAGTAGAGAGGTCGTTGTAAAGTTCTAAAATGTCCAGAATGATTGGGTGACTTGAAGTGACATTTTGAAGTGCTTGGAGGCAAGATAATGAATCTGTGAAAACGATGAAGTTTTCGGAATGATTTTGCTGTTTAATATAGGTCAAAGCTGAAAAGCTGTTATCGGGAATCCTAGAGGAGACAGTCTTGGA